AAAATGTGTCTGTAGATGAGCGATCAGCACGCAGATACGTTCAAGGTCACAAGCTTGGAATATGAAGAGTGGCGCAAGGCCCGAGGTTTGTAGAAGCTATTTAGGCAGCCGGAAATGAAGCCACTGGCGACTAGGCATAGTACTGGCGGTTCCTCTCGCCTTCCAAGCTGGAGTCCACTTGATCCGCTTTGCGCTTGGCTGGAGACTTTACAGCGCATGGCTCGCAATCAGCACTATTCCTGTGTCTGCTGTCGTATAGTCGGACTACCAGTTTAACGTGTGTTAGGTGCTGAGTTATCTGCAGGGTAATAGCTGATTATGACCTGGGACAGGGGAAACCGCACGGAAGCTGTCTGGCTGATGCCACCTTATCTTTGTACGATAGCGAGCAGTTTGTGATGGTGTGTTGTTAACACAAGGTGTAGGCGCCTTGACCCTGAACGTTTGTTTATGGCATTACGGCTTTATGCCAGGTTCCCCTTCTCCATCTTATTAATCTTTGTTCCACAGGTCGCCGTGGTTGTGCGGCAGCAAGGTATCATTTTCAATGGCTGACGTCTTGCTGTGGATCATCACGCTAGTCGAGGGTGAGAAACATGCCTCCGCTAATGTGCCCCAACGCATAAAGATAGAATAATAAACATAACGTCACGAAATAATTCGAAAAAGTCAATTAATCTAAGTTTAAATATCATATTATTAATTTTATGATAGCGTGATTGGAGAGGGAATCCAAAAGAGAGTTGGATGGACAAAGAAACTCACAGCACAAAGGCTTTGGGACCGGCGCCTAAGCATGTTAGGGTGTGTCCAACTAAACGCGTTCATCGTCCTTCGGATCGCAGCCCGGCAGTCGGGATGCACCAACAGACGTCAACTTCGAAGTGGGGGCTTCATTCCTCTTGACCAATTCATTGCTTGGCTTCCCCTCCTTCTCTTCCACTCAGACCCCGGGCGCGCAAACAAGGCATATCACGAGAGTTGGTGGACTGGTATACGCAACATGTGGCTCAGCCATCGGATCCTAGTGCGTGACATAATGGTGCTGAGCGGATCACTCGCTCTTCCTACACCCAATACGCGACTCCTAACACATTTAGTACTCACGTGGTGCTCCCACCAGACATGAGCTAAGCTGCGAAGGCAACGATGGTCGAACCTGGCTAGGCTCTTTAGCTCTGTCGATCAGATTGGCCAGTTTTCACCACCGCACAGGAGGGATGAACGGACGGCTGCATTGTAAACTCTGCCTTTCAGGGGAGAATGACGTCGCTTCGGAGGACCTTGGCAAAAGCATCTCGAGATTTTGCTATAGGTTTCGTGATCTCATCTTCAATCCCACAGTCACTAATATAGCTGCTCAAATACTTACATGCATGAATGACCTAGCTGATCGCCGCGGAGGGTCAGCGCAGGGGTGGGTCCATGTCAATCTTGGAGAAGGACTTTGCATTTCGAGGGAGCAAACCAAAGTCCCTAGCTGTGGATGATGATGATGCTGAAGGTTACACCAGCTATACGGCATGCATCTAAGGTTGATAATATATGTGGTTGCAATGAACAATAAACAATAATTTATAACGGGTAAAAAAGCAGGTGCTTGACATGTCCCGTAGGGTGTTTAGCGTGAAAAAAGATAGATCAAGGGATAATGAAGTCGTCAGTTCGGGCGATTACAGATTTAACTGCACTGTCATATAAAGGGAGTTTGAAATGAGAATGTACGCACACAAAGCAATATGGGAGTGGTTACTGATCACATAATAGGCGAGAAAAATAAAAAAGGTAGCAAGGACAACGCTTACTCGTGTGCAACTATCTTGGGTCGACAGGATACAGAAATCCAGTTTCTATAGTAGTAGCGTTTATCAAATTTCGTGCAAGGGGTTTGGAGTGACTTATTCTCGAGTAGGGTTATGGCACTATCCCCTGTCTGTTGTGCATTAGTGCCAGCATCAGGTGGTCATGGGCTATAGCACGTAGTGTAAATGTGACAGAGTATCGTCAAGACGTTTTTTGAAAAGGGATAGGGTGGGTGCATTAATTACATGTTCCGGGAGGACGTTCCAAGGCTGTGACACTCGAAGGGAGAAATAGTTTCGCCGACATTCCAGGCGGCTATACTGCGTGACTAACTTAAACTGGTGACCTCTTAGCGGGGTGTTTTGACTGAGTATTAGGAGGGTGTGGCATGGGTGGTTGGGGTTTCTCAGGATCAGGTACACTATTATGAGACCGTCCCTTAGACGCCGAGAACATCCACTGTATATTTTGAGGGTCTTCAGCCTGAGTGGGTAGGGGAGGCTGGTCAAACCTCTGACGCTCTTCGTTGCCCTACGTTGTGCAGTATCGAGCGCGGTGAGATGGTGCTTGAGTCAGGGTTGCCACGCTTGAATAGCGTATTCCGCTTGCGGCCTTACGTACGCACTAAGCATTTTTGGAAAGACTGAAGGGTCAAACTTCCCGAAAACTCTGTGAAGAAGGCCGAGGTACTGGTTCGCTTTCTTAGCTGCCTTTTCAGTCTGCCTCAAACAACCGAGGTCATCTAGGACTATCACGCCGAGATCGCACTCGTGAGAAGTCCGCTGTAGAAGTTGTGGTCCTAGGCGGTACTTGTGCATACTCTTGTGTCATATGCTGAGAACTTTGCACTTGATGACGTTGAAGTGCATCATGTTCTCGATGGACCATGTGTACGCTTTGTCCAGGTCCTCCTGTAACACTGTGTGATCCTCCATTTCAGCTATAATACACCATACCTTTAGGTCATCGGCAAATAGAAAACAGTTAGAAGATAGCACGCTCGCGAGAAAGGATGCTGGTAGCGTGCTCAAGAGATTGTGCGCATGCTGGAGAACGAATTGTTTTTGACTGTGTTAATCCGTAGTATAGTATATTACGAGCAACTAGCATTATTACTATTTGTAATTTCTGGAAATTTGGAACTATCCGAACACGCTTATTTTGTTCTCAGTTGCTTGGCTGTCTATGAGGGAAGTTACATACCCGGAGGCAGGAGGGGCAATGCTATCCTTTGCTTGTTCCCAACCTGTGTGCAAGTGGAACGTGAGGCATGATAGGTTGCAGCAAATTGATCAATCATGGGACTGACTCAGCGGTTTAACTCATTTCCTCGTTAAGGTGTTGTGTGACTTCGCGCCTTGTAGGTTACAAGGGCGTCTTTCGGATTTTTGGTTGCCGGCTGACTGGATCCTGCTTCGATGGAATTCCTCAACACTTCTAATACTTGATTTTGACATCCGGCTGGAAAATTTGTTCTTATGGGAAAATGTAACGTAAAATAACTATCAATCGACCCTCTGTCGTGTTCGCAGTTTACAAACCGCTATCAGTATTTCTGCTGGTGCGTTTCGATTGAAGTGGGCAGCTAAGATTTAAATAGCTACTTTCCGTCTTAGGAACAAGAAGACTGTGGAGGAACTGATTAGGTGAGATTGGTTCGAGTATCACCTACATCTCAGTAAACAACGCTATCTCAATGCTTCCTTCGGCAATCGTCGACGCCAGAACAAGTAGACGTGACTGCTTTATGGGCCTCCTTTTACTCATTCTGCATTGGATAAGGAATTACAGATTATAATTCCATATCAAAATTTATGCCATTGTTACTTGGACGATGATGAGTTCTGTTGGTTGGTTCCGGTTACTAAATTAGTGCACCTGAGTCACAGCTACAATGGTAATGCACCCAGTTGTCAGCACTATTCAAGTGTCGAATCGAGTAGCTGGTGAATTTGGTTAATCCTTGTTAGAACGGTTACATCGTTGATTATCTCGCATTCATCCGCACTGTATCCTTAGCATGCGGTGCTCAGTACAACTATTGGTAACAGTTTTTCCAATAATTCTAAAGTAAGAGCGTTGAAAAGAAAAAGGCTGCCCTGACCCAAGTGAATTGATACAAAAGTATTCACACGAGTGCTATTACCGATTAGCAGATGATTCCCAGTGTTCTGCATTAACTGGTACATCGTTGTTTCCATTAAATCACTGGGTTTGTGAATGGAGAGATTGCCGGAGCGGACAGCATTCCGGTAAACCAGTTTTCTCAATGCACTTCCCCCGGAATTAGAAGTATGCAACTGAGTAAAGTTTGAAGTTCAGTTAATTACCTATCAAAATGGAGTCGACTGCGTTGAAATCGTGAAAGCAAGGTGGTATACATCATAAACTCAACAAGTTTAAAAGCGTTTCAATAAGAAAACATCACCATTATCATTATACACGTCAGCTAGAGGTGGGAAACACCTCAGCTACTGTGCCGCAATAAGAGAAGAGGTATCCAGAGGTTCACCATAGTCATTATAACTACCTTAGGTTAAAGTACCCATTTATAATCGAAACTAATTGAGAGTTTGCGCAGAACCTTCCAAGTCAGATAGTCCTTCACACGTTCCAGAATGCAGCACACCGTCGGTTCGTCCTGTCGGAGCTCGTCGGCAGGGTGCATTCCTGGGCTCCATTGGGAACCGGACACAGGACCACTGGCGGTTTGCACTGCCATTCAGCAGCTTATGCCATTAAGCCATGGCGGACAGATGCGGACCATCATGACTTACAGGTTAATTGCCATGCCATTTATGCGCGTTGTAAGGTTTGCCCCGAAAACCATGGTTTCTACTAACAGTAGGTATGTTTGATACCCTCGGCATATAGCCAAATTTGTCCTAACTGTCCACAACCCCCTTTGTTGTAGAAAACGAGTGTGTTGCCCACCGAAAATGAAAATGTGGTTTGTGCAAAGTACAACCTATTGGTAATTGGGAACAAAACAATAAATTGGAGGAGAACATCGAAATTTAAGCTTTACGTATCTGGTAGCCGATCTACGCTATTCTAGGCGGAGTTTGGCAGTGTTCCGCAACGCAAAAGTTGTACTAGTAGAATCAGGTATACTTCTATTGCATCATGGTTGAATCTTTCCTATGAAATGGTTTATTTTGATTTGGTTAAACTTCTTCAAAAGAACACGAACTTACCTTTTTGTTTCCTTGGGTACTATCACTGGAACCCACTGAATCCTGTCGATTCAGAGTACTCATTTCATAAGGCGTAGAAACTGAACGTGCCCAAAGTGGTTTATCTCCTCCACCGTTTCCGTCTGATCGAAGTCCATTCGGAGATTCTTGGCCACGCAAAGGTGAGCTTATCACGTTAAAGAACCGCTTCCGCATGGATGAACTGGCCTGATTATATGCTTCGTTCATTCGGATGGATGCATTGATCTTGTGACCGCTATTCTCCCGTGAACACATCTTTGTCTGGAGGGACCGGTGGCTTTGGGACTAGAGCTGAAGATTCAACTAAACATCCGGTACACATACGTGGAGGGCTGTCTTCGGGCGTCATCCGTTCAACAGCGCGTTTGTAGGTTACAACCAATAAATTGCTATTTCACTGTCGATCCAATCATCTGTCGGAATAAGCAAGCGCATAAAGTGCGCGCGTGTGTACTCTGAAACATCCAGCCAAGCGTAGTCAGATATGACCTCGTCGATCGATCTGCGGATGTGCTAACCCATTTCTGTAATCTAATGAAAAATAATCCACAACACGCTCACCAAGGCACAAGAGTAGAAACGTGCGGTTAGCGTATTATTGTGCTCCAGCTGTTCGTGCTACACAGGTATGTCTACAAAAGCCGGCCTGCGATAACCGCGCGATCGAGCAAGGGTGGGTCAGTAAGCCGGTGTTTTGTTTGAATCGTTGTCACGCTGCTTCAACATTTCACCTCACAGTGAATTTAATCTTGTGCTTTATCCGCAATTTATCTACAACTGCGATAGACAGGACAAGGGTCTTCTTTTACCGTCAACAGAAGTTAATGGGCACTGGTTCAAATGAAAGAGTAGTCTGTTTGACCCCATAGAGTGCTTGCTTTACACTACAACATCTATGGCCCACATATGACGAAAGCTTGCTGTTACAGCCATCACAGCGCACCTATATGCCACCCAAATGTCCTGTTAACGGAGATATCGTTGCCTTTTCTAGGTTATACAAATGTCACTATCGTTCGGGACGAGCATTAAGGAGACTCGTTCACACCTTTGGCCCACCAATAAACTCTACCAGTTCTCTTAAAGGTAATCAACCGGCATAGGTCTGAGTTGTCTGAACATCGCCGAAGTGAAGAAATTCACTGCGAAGGCAGTACCAGCGGTCCATACTTGTAAAACTAGTTTCGGAACATTAAAAAGAAAACCATTAACCAAAAGCTTACTAGACTCGAGAAAATACGATGAAGCAATGAAACAGTGATATATTAGGGGCAAGAATATGAATGCTGCGGATGCCCCGATGATTGACCTCGATGAGTTTTGAACCGCAGTATAAAAGGAAATGTAATCGATAGTTTGATAGCTCTGTTGATGGAAGTGTAAATGCTGACCCACATGTAATGCTTTCGTTTGCTTGTGCAGTTCACAACCTCCTGTTGTGATACCTCGCAAGACGATATCCCGGTGTGCCACGGTATTCACGATACAGTGCAGTTAAATAAGAGAGATATACAACCTTATTGTGGAAATAACTACAACGAGAGCAGTGGCAACCAGATTTGAAATAGAGAGTGCGGTAGTTTATGTTGGCAGACCATAATGGCTCTGAGGTGAACCCACTCCGAGCAAGGTGCCTCTTACATCGTTGTGGCACAACTTCATTCACTACCTACTCTATGGCAGCTGCTTTACATTTATTCAGTTTTTAGATTTTGCTAACTACAGCGTATGAGGAGGTATATTTTCTTAATTGTTGCTATGTAACATAAGTCGGTACGTATTTTCCGGCATTTCTCTAACCCAAGTTTTGTCAGGAAAGTGCGATGTCTCTCCATAAAAGGTTTGAAGTGCTCATCACACAGGTTCGATAATGTGCTGTTTGGATACGGCGTCGACATGCTGCTTCTCACAAGACGCATCTGATTCAACATCTTTGTCACTCCTCAGATGTGCAATTTGCATCATTTCCAAGTTGGTATGTTTCCTTGTTTTTAAATAATTATATACATGTTTTATTCTCGGTAGAACGAGGCACATCATGATATGACATTAAACTGCATTTGACTGTCATAAAGAAATGAGCAACCTTCGTGAGAGCTTGACACAAAAAGAAACTATGCTGCCGTTTCTGCGGATCCTCTCTTGCCTTGCTGTTAGCTATTCATTCCAATACTACGTAGGTCATAGGTTTGTGAAATGAACCACCTGTTGAGACGCTCCTCCCTGACAGCGAAATCCTCTTTTGCGTGGATACCGCGTAGGCCCTCTAAAATACTATTTGTGTTAGAACAATGAACAATGAATTGTTATGGTTAAACGAGCTAGTGCTTGACAACGCCCGTAGGACGACCGGAGTGAGGATTAGAAAACCGAATGTAAAATGCTAGGAAAATAAGGAGAAATTCAATAAACACAGACGCAGGTTTCCTCGGCTCTATGTTACAGAAAGGGCTAGTGAGCAGGCCGTTTCGATCACGTCATTTCGTACGATCGAAACAGACTTTGTGATGTAATGCAAAAGGCGTTAATGTAGGGGCACCAATGACGTAAATTCGAAGAGCGATTTTTTATCCTGAATGTCTCGAACGAAGATTTGTCGACGATCAGGTCAACTAGTCCTTGGCAACTTAGATTCATTGACCTCTCAGGTTAGATATGTGGGTGAATTGTAACAGATCCCCGCAGGCGTGGTTGGGGTTCGACAACGTTAAGTACATTATAATGATATCTCTTCGTTGACGGCGTTGTACAATCCAAGTGCTCGCAGCCTGAGTTGCAGGGGAGGTGGAAAGACCCCTGAAGGCAGTAGCTAGTTGTTCCAGTAAAGTTATCGCAACCAGTCTAGTTGATCACCCTCCACAGTTTCTAAGCTGATACAACGCTTGCGCTGTCGAGTCTTGCTGCCTGTGTTAGACGTCAAGGGAGTTCTAAACATGGTTCTTGAAACACAGTAACTAAATTAAAGACATCTAACGGATCACACTGCTGGGAGTGCAAAACTGCTCACTGACCACCGATTGTGAAGTTAAAGTTCACGGTTTATCGTGTTGTGGAAGTGACAAATATATATATATCAGGTTATATATATATATATATATATATATATATATATAACCTGACAAGTAAACATTTGGCAGTGCCACAACACGTGAATAACAACAACAAAACTGAGGTACGGAGTCAGAGGAAGGCAGGCGAAAATCAATATGTTGTGTGGGCTGAAAATTTTCTGGTTTCCCAGGTCGAGGAAGAGGGTTTACTTAAGGGGCACCATCCAGAGCCTTCAGTCTTATATACCTGATCCACAAGGCAGCGGGGATAATACGAAGACTGTTGACAGCCAGCTGGCTTATTTGCCTTCTTTGTGTTCGGTTGCAGTCCACGGAGAAGCCGGTGGTCAGCAAGGTTGTTCATTCACCCTATGTTAGCTACTCCAGTTACGGAAGTGAGTGGTCAGTGATCCTATGGCTGACCACATTGGCTTTGACACAGCGGCTTACAAGCTCTTGTGGCCTTTGATGGAGAACCAGGAGACCAGCCCAAAACTCCCCAGGTTCTTGAGACGTTGCCGCTGATTGTCCACGACTGCTTATTCATCTCGTCAGGAAAGCAGACGAGACTTATTCGCAGTTACCTCCACAAGAAAGACATTCCCTAGTCTGTAACCTGGGACGTGCACAATAGTGTACAGTTCAGCCATAGAAGTTGTAGCAGTGATGACCCGAATTAGCTGAAGAAGATAGTGTCAAACTGTTATGTATCGTGAGTGGGCACACTGAAGTCAGTCTGCATAGCTGCTGGTGCAACAGCTAAAATTCTCAATGGAGGTTAATACATCCATAAAATAGTAAGGTCACTGTGAAGCGTGGAATGTCACCATGCGTTACTTTTGACGGGTGCACGCGGTCAGCAAGGGAGGCAGCCGAAACCACACCTACGTTCTAGGGGGTAACGAGCCTGAATATTCTACTCGTTTCTATTGTCCCATCGTCAGGTTTAGCCAATTTCACCTTTGCTACAGAAGCCGTGTTAAAAAAAGCGGTTATCTCTGCTTACCAACACTCATCTTGGGTCAAGCGCATGGTGCCTCTAGATCTCGTCTCTTCTGCTGATCTATCTACGCGTTCGGCTTCGGATCTATGTGTTGGCACAAGTTCTGAGATTGGTTGAATAACCCCGCTTAGTTTACCTATTAATACGTTCCATGCATTGTTCGACGAGCTTTGTATCGGAAGCTTTCAGTCAACGGTTTGCGCTAAGTTGTAGTGGTTTTTAACGGTATGGCGGAACTCGTGGCTGCTATCAAAAATGCTGGACTAACATAACCAAAAGTCAGGCATGCGTTTTTGCTACTACCTACTAGAGGGTCAAAAGTAACTGGCCCAGTCATTAGCTCTTCGTTGGTCAGGATTAAGTCCAGAAGTAATGGGTGGTTCAAACCGTGGTGTTTGATACGCCGACCCGTATGGTTATACAAAACTACACTATACATGAACTCAATAGTTCTCATTTAAAAGTAGGCGAGCGGGGGACATTGATACTACTGATGGCGCATTTCAGTGCCCTATTATAACGCAGCACCAGTACTTTTTGAAGCAGCAAATTGGAAAGCGTTTAACAAAAGATCGTCGCTATCCGCTGAAAAGTTCGGAGGCAAGTAGACAAATGCGTTTTCTCCTGGGATCCACCATCTCAACCTACTAGTTACATTTGACATAATAAGGCGTCGGGAACAACAAGGAGAATGTTCGGTAGGGGCCTCATTTCAGGTAAACTTGGAAGTAGAAAACAACTCCGCCACCGCGAGACGGACGATCATTCCGAATGATTGGTATTTCACCTAGTTCGATCTCCGGATTTAGTATTCCGTTTGAAAGCTAGGTTTCAGTCACTGCAATAATGTACCCAATCGTTGTTTCATGTTGGCGGCGCAGTTCCGGCAGCCTAGAGTGGAGTTCTTACTGCAGCATTGCTTTTGTCAAGGCATTGGGAGCTCGGTTAACTGTGGTTGACCGGCACATTGATGCCGGTCTGTCGAGATTTTACGTTACGGGTGTCTGAATGGCTAGCTGTTCTGAGGCAGGAACAACTGACTATAGCTCATCTGTACCTGGAGTTTGTACTGTTTGAAGCAATGTTCTTAACGGTTTTTTGTTGTCAAGCTACGCTTTGATTGTCATTGATACCATGTCGGGCATATCCAAGGCAACTTTCTAAATTGTCGACCCGCTACCGTAGTATTTCGCGGAGGTCGCTAGATGGGTGATGCCGAAAATCACGACGTTTTGCATGTTAAAGACTTGTGCAATGTAACTCCACTCTCCAGTGTCGGTCACTGTTACTGCCATGCTTTAATTT